GCTGAGGGGAGCAGTGAGTGAGACAGGAGGGACCTGCTGCACCATGTAGGTCACCTCACTGGCCAGGGATAGAACTTGTGCTGTAGCAGCTGGTGATAGCTTCATAGTGCTAATAAGCTTTAACCCTTTGCACCACCAGGGAGACCCAAGCAAATTTTTAACACACAACTTTTTCTAATGACTTACTTACTAATGTTCTTCACTTACTGCTGCCATGGGGTCAATGTAGTCAGACTTTTGAAATACAGTAAACATCAGTTATGGACTGAAAGGGCAAATCTTTTAAAAGACTTGGAATTTCACAAGTCGATGTGCATCACGTGATGTTGGAGAGCTGTTACATCATCCTCAAAGCCATTGACAAACAAGCATCCTGCTATATTAGCCCAGATGATGAGTCAACAACAACAAAAACAGCAAGAACGAAAGTGGGTTCAAGAGAGCAGAGCACCTGTGTGTCTAAGGGGCCTTGAGAAGAAACAGACTTCCTGAGAGGCAGAGGCTGAGGCAGGCGCAAGTAGAGGAGTGAGAGGGAACTGGGCTTGTGCATGTCTGGAGGAGGAGCCGGAGGGCCTGAAGAATTGGACCCTGAGAGCCTCAAAGAAGGAAGAGAAAGCAAGAGCGACTCCCAAGCTTTCTAACTGAACAACTGAGTGCGTGACAATGCCGTTTGTCAGGACGGGACAGGCCCGTCTGGGAGAAGGGGGGGCCGGGGGAGAAATCCAAGCCTGGTTATAGGAATTCATAAAATGCATTAGCATTTTCCATATTTGCTGGTGGTGTCTTAACTATTTCTGCTATCACAAATTGGAATACAAAGTTAAAACGCAAACATTACTGAGCTATGTAGCAGAAAAAATGAGAGCCTGCTCTCTGCACGTAACTAGTCAGCACCTGCAGCGTGTTCCTCTTCGATTTCAGCGCATTGGTAGAGTTACCTTAGCATCGGTGTTCACTTGTTTTTACATCTTGATTTGTTATGAAAATTTTAGTTACATCCTAAATAATGCACCATCTGCTCCTGCTTATTTACTTAGCATGGTATCACGTTCTTTTTATGACTACAGATTGATTTACTTACAATCCTCTATTGATGGGTTCTTGATTGCTGATTTTAAAATGCTGTGTTGTATAAGGTGTTTCCCTCTACTCTCATTGTGCTCTGAGTTTTTAAAATCAGGAACGTCTAATGATTTTTCAAAATGCTTTGGTAGCATCAGTTGCAAGGATCACAGGATTGACTCCCTTGATCTAATTCGGATGTTAAGTCTTACAGCTCTGGTGTCCCTGGAGCTATGTCATATTATTCTTTTACAAGGCCACCAAATTCTACTTTCTTTCTTTTCCCCTCTATTTTTGCCAGACAGAATTCAAAGATGACCGCTCAAATTCCTGCCCCTTTATATACTTTTGGGTCCTTGGGTGTGAGCCTGCCTGTGAATATGGTGAGACGTCATCGCTGTGGACATTTTAACTCACATGGCCAGATGCTTGCAGACATAAGGCTACTAATAGGCGACTTTGCATTCATCAAAGGGGAGATTATCTGTGTGCGCCAGACCTGATCACATGGATCCAGAGACAGATTCAAAGCAGCAGGGACGTTCACCTGCTCCCTTTGGAGGAACAAACTTCCATCCATGGCATAAAAGAGGATCCCATGGCAGGGATGGTGTGGATGGGCTCAAGGACCTGAAAAACGCCCCCAGTCAATAACCGGCAATAAAAGTGGGGACCATAGTCTTTAAGCACAGAGCGCTGGATTCTGCCAGCACCTTGAATGACCCCTGACCTCAGGAGGCTTAGCAGCCCCTTCGAAGCACTGTGACTTCAGTCATGGGAAACTCAGAGCCAAGTTCAACCAAGCCTAGATCTGACTTCCAGGAACAAAGATAACAATTTGTGGGGTGGGGAGGAGGGACTTGTGTGTGCGTCTAAACTGTAGTAAAATATACATGTAGAATATGTCATTTTAACCATGTTTAAGTTTACACGTCAGTGGCATTAATGGGATTCACAATGCTCTACAGTCATCAGTGCTGTTTCTAAAGTTTTCATCATCCCACACGGATAATTTATAACCATTAAGCAAAAAGATTCTGCACCTTCCCCCTCTAGCCTGCCAGTCACTGGTAACCTCTACTCTACTGTGGTCTCTATGATGTTGCCTGTTTTAGGTATTTCATAGAAGGGGAGTTGTGGAGTATGTATCTTTTGTGGCTGCCTTATTTTAGCTCGCATACTGTCTTCAAGGCTGATCCATGTGGTACCATGTACAACTTCTTTCCTTTTTGTAGCTGAGTAATATTCCAGGGATTTACCATTTATCTGTTGATCGGCACTTGAGTTGTTTTCACTCTATGAACAATGGTACATTGAGCATTGCTGTACACATCCAGTCTGAGTCCTTGTCTTCACTTGTTTTCAGAACATACCTATGAGTGGAATTGCTCATCTGGTCACATAGTAATTCTATAAAATTTATGTTTTTTTTTAAAGATTATTTATTTATTCATACAGAATTGGGGTACAGGCCAGAGATGCGGGGGGTGAGAGGATTCACCAGGGACAGAGTGGGGAGCAGAACAGGCAGATCGACGAAGTACACTGCTGAGGGGAGCAGCAGGCGGGTCAGGAGAGGTCTGCGGCGCCAGGTGGATCTCCTCCGGGGCAGGCGGGAATCGAACTCATGTGGAAATGACTTAAGTTTCTAAGTGCAGTGCTTTAACCTGCTGCGCCAGCAGGGAGGGCCCTAAAATTTATGTTTTTAAGGAAAAACAAACTCTTCTGCAGCGGTTGTACCATTTTACAACTTCACCAATAATGTATAGGTTCACCAACACTTGTTATTTTCTGTTTTTCCCCCCATTTATGGCCATTTTAGTAGGTTTGAAGCAATAGCTCATTGTGATTTTGATATGCATTTTCCCTGATGACCACTTGTGCATCTTCTTTAGAGCAATGTCTAAGTCCTTCGTCTACTTTTTAATTGTGTTGTTGTCTTTATGTTGTTGAGTTCTTTATCTTTTATAGAAACTGTGTGTTGTTTTAAGCCATCATTTTTTAAATAACTTCTTGTACGGCAATAGAAAGCTCAATACATTTTATCCTATAATAAACTGTAAAATGTGATATTTTTGTAAACATGTAGGGAAGCTGTCCATTTTTTCTTCTATTATGAAATACCAGAATAGCAAGAATGATCAGTCATTTGGTGGAACTTACTTGACAACCTGTCAGTCTGATGTCTTTTTCGAGGACATATTGTTGACAACCTTTTTCTAAAGTTTGAGTTTCTTGTGTCTTCTTGAAATAATATTAGTATATCTTCCTGATTGCTTAGAGAATTAAATTAAATCATACGTATGCAGTGCCTTAACAGCATACCTGTCAAGAAAAGTACTCAAAAGGCCTTTCACTGTGTTGTTGCCGTAAGATTTTCTCCCTATCCCAGAGCTCAGGTGTGTCCCCCAGCTATGTCTAAGGTGTGTCATTCCTTTGTAATCTTTTTTTGCAATTCATTGAGACCTTTTGATCCAAAAAGGGCTTTCTTTCTTCAGCTCAAGGACATTTATTTAAGTTTTTTCTCATTATTCTCTTCTACTTTCCTCCTCCTTTCTGGAATTTTCCTTATTTGAATATTTGATGCCCTGACTCTACCCTTGCTGTTTCTTATGAGTTTACTAATAGCTGCCATTTCCTTGGGTTATTCTTACCCAGTGGGGGTAAAAATAAGTGGGATAATTTTCATACTTTATCTTTAAGATCACTAGGTTGATTTTTACCAGGGACCATTTTATTTTTCAGTGCTTCTGGTGAGCAGGTTCAGAAATGCTCCTCCTCCCCAACCCTCCCCCCACCAACCCCTACCGGAGAGCCTTTCTCATTCTCAGTTAGCTGTTTTATAATTTTTTCAACTGTCATCAAGAACTCACTGAAGCCTTTAGAAGAGCCGTCTCCCTGTCTCTTCTGCCAAGCATTGCCAACAGGAGGCCCACCTGCCCTTGGCTCCCTGCTGTCACGCCTGAGTACTTTGTCATGTGGCCAAAGACACTTTGCAGATGTGCTTATCATTATGGACCCTGAAATAGGAAGATTATCCTGGATTATCGGTGGACCCAACCTAATCTCTTGAGCCTTTAAAAACAGAAATCTCTGCACTTAGGGTCAGAGAGACGCAACAGAAGTCAGAGAATTCAAAACATCAGGGTACCTGGCTGGTTTTGAAGCTAAGGGGCCAAGTGGCCTCTGAAAGATGCAAACAGTCTGCCAACAGCCAGAAAGAAATGAGGGAGGCCTTCAGTCCTTCGATATTAACAACCTGAAGAAACCAGAAGCAGATTCTCCCCCAGAACCTCTAGATAAGGACCAACGCCTTGATTCTGGCTGTGGGCCTGGAGCAGAGACCAGTTGTGCCTGCTGAACTTCCAGCAGAACTGTGAGATAATTCATGTGTACTGCTTTAAGCAGCTAAGTTTATGGTAATTTGTCACAGCAGTGATGGAAAATAAAATATGCCATCTAATAATAATTCTGCCCCCCACAATGGTGATATAACTAGTTTGGGAGGTAGAGAGGTAGTGGTGAAGGGTGAGAATACTAAAATAAAGCCCAATTTTGTGTCCTGTTTTCATATCGTGCTGCATGACAGGAAGCCAAAAAGATTATTTTTAACCTTGACAAATAACATCATAAACATCTGTAAGATCACAGCAGTCAACAGTGAAGGAGACAGCTGGAAGTGACATAAGTAGCTGCTCCTGGAGAGCAGGAACTGAGTGTGAGCAGGAGTGGGTGGGCTGCCGAGCTTTGCCGTCTAAGCCTTGGACGGAGCTACAGGACTTTTAGATGCATGTTCCTGTGTCATCACAATAAAAACAAAGGGCAAGTCCCCCCACCATCCGTGTAAGGTGTGCCACCTCTCTGAGGAGCCGAGCAGGGCGGGTGGGGCTGCCCCTGCCTGCCAGGGCGTGTGTCAGCCCGTCCTCTCTCATCACCAGGGTGGAGGAGACCAACAGCAAGCTCTTGGAGTCTGAGCGGAAGCTGCAGAAGGAGCGGCAGCGCTCCGTGGTGCTGGAGCAACACCTGGAGAAGCTGCGCTTGGAGCCCGGGAGGACGGCAGCCTCGCAGAGGGCAGCCCCCAGGAGCAAAACAGGTAGACTGGGCCCGGGGCCAGCAGCACTTGGGGGGCATCTTGCTGCTGTGGAGACGCCAGTCTGCAGCACGGGCCAGCCCCCTGAGGAGAGGCCCGTGCCAGGGTGGCACCCCACATCCTCCTCCCCTGGTCTCCTGTGAGCACAGGAGCCCCAGGGCATCAGCAAGTGGCCCGCCTCGAGCCCTTAACATAGGCAGCGCTTAGCTTACAGTGTTCTGCAGGATGCCCCCAGCCGCCACCCTCACCCCACCTCAGTCCTCAGCCGCCCATCCCGAGCCGCCGTTGTTCACAGCTGGTGATGGGCAGTTGGTCTGCTGGGGGGTCGGAGGAGGGGTGGCTGAGCAGGGGCAGAATTCCCACCTGCCTCCTTAGCACTGAGCAGACGTGGGCATGCAGCGGCCTCCCTGCAGGCTTGGGGACCCAGGGGCCTCTGCCTGGCGCCCCTCCATCCTCAACACTCAGCTCCATCGCTTGGTCTAACCTGGCTGCCTCGTGCCCCCACCAGGCCGAGGACAAGCAGCTCCACAGTCTTGAAAGGCGTGACCACTTCTGCCTTCACCCACTGGCCAGGTCCTAGGCACGTGACCATGCCAGTTGCAGCTGGAGGTTGAGTTGTCCTAATGGAAAAGGTCTGTTGCTCCAAAACAGAGGCGGTCTGCAGCTCAGCAGCAGTTTTTGGGACTGGGGCAAGCTGGGGGTGCAGGCTGCAAGAGTTTGTGGGACTGGGGCAAGCTGGGGGTGCAGACTGCAAGAACCAAAAGCCATTTCTGGGGTGGCTGGTTCCCGGAGAAGAGGAATCCCCAGTGAGGAGAGGCGAGGCCTCCTCCACCGGCTCTGGTGTAGAGGTGCAGCCCTCTGGTGTAGAGGTGCCCTGCCTCTCGACACCCCAGGACGCCCCTGCCCTTCCCCCAGCCAAGGACACTCAGACTTGTGTTCCCAGCCCAGAGGAGATCAGAAAGTTTGGGAAGGATGGGCACACAGCGGGAGTTGTGCCTTCCCCCCTCCCAGCTGCAGGGCTGGGCCTCAGAGGAGCCTTCCAGGAGCTGCTGAGAGTCCAGGTTGAATCTCTGGGGTGAGCCCTCCTGGGTCCCGGAGAATAGGTCCTCTAGGAAGGCCGTCCTCCGGCCTGGGGCTCGCCTCCCGCTGGGGAGCTCCCAACCAGAGAAGACTAAGCACAGCAGGATAAGCCACTCTGCTCCCGCCTGGACAGCGAGGGCAATGCCTGAAAGTGCCCACGAGGCCTCTGCCACCTGATGGCCTATGGCCTGAGCGGAGTGGCACCCTCTGGAAGCCTGCCACCACCCCGCCATCTGCAAAATGGGAGCCCTGATTCCGGAGCTCAGTCCTTCCAGGCATTTCCAGTAAAAGGTGTGAGAGGCCAGAGGGAGGCAGGCGCTGTGGCTTGATGCAGAGCAAGAGATAGCAGGAGCCAAGAGCACAGATGTTTTCTCTGGGGTGGCGAAGACCTCGCCACAAGTTGATAACCAGTCAGACAGTGGAAGAAGGGGCTGTGCAGACAGCTAGTGAGGGAAGAGTGGGGGCACCATGGAGGGAGGTTGGCGGGACATTTGGAAGAACCACATGGGGGGCAGTGAGGCGGGAGCAGAGTGAGGTCGGAGACATACTGGTCTCTGGGATGACATACCGGGGAGGTGAATCCCACTCACGGAGTTCTAGAGGCAAGAACCATTCTCTTCATTTTGCAGGTGAGGAAGCCAACCCAGGGAAGTTGAAGGTTTACCTGAGGCCACACAACGGGGGGTGAAAACCAGGTCTGCCGACAGCAGGTGATTTCCCCTGGGCCACACCACCCCCAGAACCACACCACCTCCGAGGGCCTCTTCAGCACAGAGGCATTCTGATGATGTGATCATGTCCTAGGTCCCCACTCGGGGGGCTTTGATTTCCTTGTCCGAGCATTGTGTGGCCCCTGATCCCACCCACCCTGGGTCTGCTGTATGTATATGTATGTGTGTATGCATGTATGTATGTAGTTGTTGGCTGGAACAAGAACTGGAGGGGGCAGCTAACGGTGTGAGAGCATCAGATGCAGTGACCGCCTAGACTCAGCTTCAACCTGCAGGCCAGACCACGGGCCCAGATGCCCTCCAGAAACTTGTGAGGGGGCAAAGGCGGAGACGGTCACAAGCCAAAATCAGGCCCCGGGAGAACATAGAGCAGGTATCAGAGCGGGCCCTAGAGGGAGACCCTTGTCCTGCGCCTTGAAAGGGGGTATGTTTCAGCAAGTGGAAAAGCACGAAGTGGACAGTCGGGCGAGGGGAGTGTTCACACAGGGCCCTGGCACCTCACAGAGAGTGGCCACTGCCGCCCCACAGGTCCTCCCACCATCACCAGGCACAACCCACACGCGGGCGAGAGAAAGGACCCGGCCTCCAGCCAGCTCTCCAACGTGCCTGTGGAGTCCCAGGTGGAGGAGCTCACCACCAGGTGCCTCTGGCCTGTCTTCCTGAAAGGGTGACGCTGCCGTGGGCTGCTGCTCGAACCGAAGGCTGGTCCTGCAGGGCCTGGCTCTCAGGCCAGCCCTCGGCAGCTGGCTCAGCCACGACCAGGTTAACCTGTACTCCCAAGAGAAGTTGCGTTAGGCGTGGGTTGCTGAACCCCTTTTTCTCACTCGGTTGACCTGTTAAGGCCAAATGCAGTGATGAGAAAGGAAGGCGGGGAAACCCACCCGTTAGTATTCATCCTGGAGGCAGTTGGGGGAACCACCCAGGGCCAGACCCAGCGCTGTGGGTGGGCCCGGCAGAGGTGCCGGGTTTCCCTCTATGGCCGGTGGGAGGAGGCAGAGTCCTGCAAACCCTGCCATGCGGCAGCCCCTTCCCAGGGCCCTTGGCAGGCAGGCTGGCACACACGCACCCGCCCGGCCTGCTAAGCCCTGTCTCCATGTGGTCCAGGCTGGCCATCCAGGCGGAGGAGAACGAAATGCTGAAGGCTGCCCTGGGCAGTGCCCTGCAGGGGAAGGAGGAGGACTTCCGGATGTACCACGAGACCCTGGGCCAGGTGAAAGGGGTCTTCCTGCAGGCCCTGCGGCAGCAGAAGGTGGACAAGCGCTAGGACGCACAGCAGGGCGGGCAGCCTCGGGCTCGGAGGACCGGGTTCTAAGGACCCAGCTGCCCCCAAGGCCAGCCTGGGCAGAAGGGGCTCCTGGAGCAAGGCCAGAGCTGACATGCCATGCTGGAGGGCTAAGAAGTCCTGAGCGAGCCCAGGAGGAGGCCCCAGGTGGGCGTGGCTGCGATTGGGGAGGAGGCCCTGCGGCAGCACGGAGTCAGGGAGCCCCTGGACGGCACACCGTGAATGGACACATGCAGCCCTCGGACAGGCACTCCTGGCTCTGACCGAGGCCAGGCTGGGCCCCCCTGCGAGCCCACACAGCTCCACGGGCGCAAGGTAACTTTGGTGCTCTGGGCTGGGAGCATCGCCAGGCCTTCCAGCCCCATTCTGGCCCCTCACTGGGGCATCGCCCTGCCCCCTCGCCCCCCCCCAGCTCCACGTGTGGCTGCCCCCACACTCTGCAGACTTCGGGGGGCTCCCAGCTCCCAGCTTTCTTGTCGACCCATTCCTCAGGTCTCTCCTTCAGATGCAGCCCTCAGAATTGCAATAATAATGATTTTTCTCAGTCACCACAGCTCCCACCGAGTGAACATCTACTATATAAACCCGATTCGCTCCATGCCTGGGTGTCCCAGGATGTCATCACCCTATTTTACAGAGGAAAAAAACTGAGGCTCAGAGAAAGGGGCTGAGCTAGTTTGAGCCCTGGCCTGCTTGCCTGCAGGGTCCTCCAGATGCGCGGATGCCCAGGGCCAGCGTCTCGGCCGCTCTGCCCCGTCCACTGTTCCAGCAGGCTGCTCTATTTGTTGCAGCTGGCCTGGGATTTTGTGGCTGTTGGGCCAGACGTGGCCGGGGTGCACTTCCCTTACAAACCCAGGGTTGAGCTGGCAAGGGGTCCCCAGCTCCATGTCTTCCTGCTTGACTGCAGCAGGCAGGGCGACCCTCGGGAGGGTCATGCAGCACCATACCTGACTCCAGATTCCCACTGGTCCACACCCAGATGCGTTGCGCCGGTACGTAGAGCCTGGGGTGCACGGCTGTGTGTGTCCACGCGCCCTGCACACTCACAGGCCCTGACAGGCGCCTGCCTGCCGGCATGTGTGTGGATACAGACGCACAGCCCCGCGCGAGAGCCACGCACGGGTGTCACGGCGTGGCGACTCACACACTTCCCCAGGAAGCCAGGTAGTGGGCTGTGGAGAGACTGGTGCCGACACCCACCCAGAGACCCCCGGACTCACATGGTCTAAACACAGATCTGGATCCCCACCCCCTCAAGGTGGGGCCAAGGGCATCAGGGCAAAGCAGCAGCTCTGATGAAGCCAAGAACTTCCATCTGACTCTGTGTGAAGGGAAAGGGCTGGAGGCGACTGCGTGAGGAGGAGTGGGGAAGGCCAGGCTGAGTAGTCAACGCCATCTCCTGTCGTGCTTGCGAGGACCATCCAAGTCCGTGGGGGGTCGTGAAGGTTGGGGCTGCTCTGGAGGGAAATGCCGGCAGGGGGTGGGCGCGGTGGCCGGGGTGTCCAGGGGCGTGGGCCACTCGAGTATGGACACTCAATGGTGGTTTTGCTGCCCTCATTGGCTCTGGGCTGGGTCTGAGAAAAGGAAGGGCATCAGGTCATGGGGTCTCAGCGAGGGGGGCTGTCTGGGACAGATCTCTTTCCCCGCTCACCAACTGTGTGGCCTTGGGAACGTGACTGAACCTCTCTGAACCTCCAAGCCTCACCTGTAGAATGGGAATAACAGACATCTCCTAGGACCGTTACACTTGTCGAAAAATAACTCAAAGACATCTAGCTCATCGTTGACTTCTCTACAGGGGAGAGGGGGGCTGTATCAATAGACTGATTTGTTCTACAAAGTTGTAAAAGGATTCATACAGTAGGAAACAGCAGCAGGTCTAGCACACCTTACGTGTACCCTATTTTAGGCAGCTTGACGGGCAGACCTGTCGCAGAGGTCAGTCTGGGCTCTCAGTTGCTTAGGCCAACTGTGGACACAGACAGCTGCTTCAGCGGGCGGAGTCTCTGGGCAGCTTCAAGAGCTTTGTTGTGAAGCAGTGTGTCAGGACCCTGCCACACTTCTGTACCCCAGTTTAGTTAGACCAAATCTATTCCCGAGCCCCTGTTAGCGCTTGGTCTCCCTCTGTCCGCAAACACTTGGTGAACAGCTAGTCTCCCCAGCCGGGGTGAGGCAGATTTGGCGGTCTCCGGGATGCCCAGGTCATCTGGGAGACAGACTCACAGGTCTCCATCCACCTGCCAGTCACTGTCAGGCACCAACAGTCACTGTCAGGCATGGCCTCTCCCCTGCCCACGAAGGGCCCAGGGGTAGAATCTGACTTCTTGTTTCAGGGATCTCCTGGTCTTGTCAGAAGGCTGAGATGGACTGGGGGGAGGGGGGGTGCGGGGGCAGGGGGAGGGGAACCCAGGGACAGAAGCTGGCACCTCAGAGCCTCCTGTCTTCTGCAGCTCCCAGGCTCGCTGCCCAGATGCGGGTGGGGCCGGCTGCCAGGGAATCATCTGTCCTTCAGATCTCCCTGAGTGTGGGTGGGGAAGGGCAGAGGGGAAGCCTCAGGGCTCTCCCAGGAGGCCAGGGCGTAGGGCATGCTTGGGGTCAGCAAAGGGGCCAAGAACTGGGGCCCTGAAGGATCTATCTCAAGTGGGCTAGTGCCTGAGGCCGCCTCTCCAGCCATCTGGCAGGTGGCAGCAAAGGGAGACATTGCAAGAGCCTTAAGGTTGCACGAGGTGGGGGGAGGGGAGCAGGGACAAACAGAGGGCAGGCAGTGGAGAGGTTTCACGTGAGGTGCTTGGGCCTGGGAGCTCAGGTTCCAGCAGACAGGTGAGACCTGGCTGAGCCCTGGGCGTGACTTGGCCCCTGTCCCTGTGGGGGCCTCTGGGGACGACAGCTGAGCTGGGCAAGACTGAGCTGACGCCAGCTGACCCAAGCCCCAACACATTCTGTTCCTGTGGGCCCCTCCTGAGCTCCCGGAAGCCCAGGAGGGGGGGTGCAGCAGGGGTTGTCCTCTGGGCCCCCACTCGGTGACCACAACCAGACTTTCCTCCCCACCTCCTCGCCCCACAGCTCCTCACCGGAGTGTCTGCCTGCCCAGCCCCTCTGCACAGACATGCCGCCGCAGGGCACACAACACCATGACACACCTCACACCCTTACCCACCGCGCGCAGTCAGTAGCCACCACCCAACAGACACAAGAGTCATGCACACACCAGACACTGCCCAGTTTTACTTCAAGCAGCAACAAAAACCTGAGCTGTGAAAAGGGGCTCTGAGACTTGAGAGAACTGCTCCCCACCACCCTGGCCCCCCATTTGGGAAGTTGACCCAAGCCCATTACTGGTTGTAGCCGGGTCGGCCTCCTGCCCCTTGCTAGGCTGGTCCAGTCAGGAGCCCTCCCCTCCTGCCGGCCTCTGGCCACCCAGCCGCCAGTCCAGGGGGCTCTAGCTCCCCAGCCCCCCGCCATCTCATGCGCTGCCTGGGGTCATGTACAGTGCGTCAGTCCCTGTGGGTCCCGTCTCTCCAGGCCCGAGCAGCAGCAGGAGTCCCGGCTCTGTCCACCTCTCTCTCTGAGCAGTGCAAATGGCCCGAGGCTCCCACCTGCAAGGCCAACTCAGGCTCAAGTCAGTTGGCTGAACCTGTGCTCTTAACTTGGGCATCAAACTGCCTGGATGCTTCCCTGGACCAGTCTCCAGCAGCCTCTGGAGGGCACCAGCCAGATGGCCAGTCCAGGCTGGTTTCCGCCAGTGCATGGTGTGCCTGAAGTGGTTCTTGACCCTTCAGGGCGGGCGGCTCCAGAAGCTTGTGGGGCTGAGGCAACTACCTGACCTTGGTGCCTCAGTTTCCTTATCTATCAACGGGAGAGTAATAACCCCTCCGAGGGTTACATTTTTTAAAATGTACAACAGTGTGGTTTTAGAGCCAAGCCTGGCTACCATGACGATCTTACTCCTGACACCCCTTGAGTCCACCTCAGGATTCTGCTCATGTCCCCCATTCTGAACCCTTCCCTGGCCCCCTGAAGTCTGGTGTGGACACCCCGCCCTAGCGCTGGCCTCCCCAGGGACCCCTGAGCCAGGTGCAGCCCCCAGCCAGTCTACCGTGTCAGGTTCAGGGTCAACAGCAGGCCTCTCAGTGTGTGTGACCATTGGGACCCCGTCCGCCTCCCTCTGAGCTGGTATGTAGGGAAAGACATGACTGGGTAAAGCCATGGGGGAGGGGATGGGGAAGGGACTCTCCTTCCAAGGCCTTCTCAGGCCCTAGAAGCGCCTGCTGGTGGGTGAGCAGCCCCCCTTCCTGGTCCTCAGCTGAGCCTGTGTCTGGGGTGGGGTCAGTAGAGGTGCCAATCACACAGCTCTCTGTAACCCCACAACCCAGACCCTGTCCCATCGTCCATACACAAATGGGATCCCACAAACTTGGCACACATACATGTAGTTCCCCCAGACACTGAGGTCCTTATCCCAAAGCAGGTCCTCACCCCTTTAGGGGAGCTTCAAGATCCCCTTCCCATCAGGTAGTCCAGGCTGAGCCTGTGACTGCAGAGGGGAGCCCTGCCCCTGTCCCAAGTTGGCTAGGGACATTCCTGTCTGCTTCTCTGCCACTGAGGGGACACCAGTACCCACTCAAGACTTGCCAAGTGATCCCATTAGCCTCTGCTCACCTGTGCAACTCCCTGTGGGACAGAGCTGGGGCTCCCCTGGGGGTAGGGCTCATGAGCCTGGAGGGGCCCACAGGGACCACCTGGAAGGCTTCCTGGAGGAGGGGAGTCCAGGCCAGCTGTGAGTGGGAGGCACAGGCTTTGCCAACCAGGCGAGACCAGGTGAGACAGGTTAAAGTGAAGCCCAGGTATCCCTGTCTGAGCACACGCCCCCTGGCCACCCCTTCCTCCCCTCCCCCACCCCCCCACGATCCTCCCTGCGGCTCCCTGTGGCCAGCAGCTCTGCAGCACTCGGCTCTGCTCCATTCCGCTCAGCTCCGCTCCCGGAAGGCCACCTCCTCCTTGCCCTCCTCCTCCCCTTCCTCCTGCTGTCACCACTCACTGCTCATAGCCTCAAGGGGGTGGGGACCCCAGAGCTGGACACACCCCACCATAGCCCCAGAACTCAGCTGGACGGACGGACACAGTCGGACGCAGGACCCCGGAGCCCCGAGGTGGGCAGTGTGCCAGGGTCCCTTACAGCCTCCTCAAGGTCAGTGCCAACTGGGGATGAAGCCGTTCTAGGGTCCTTGGGGCCCCTGGGATGTACCTAAGACCCCACCCCACAACCAGACCCCAAGGTGGGCTTTATCCCAGGTGTACCTGTGGCAGGCAGGGCAGGGGGCAGGGGGCACCCCTATATCCATAAGGTGGCTCAGGTCCATGGGGCTATCAGGAGACCTCCCAGGTTGGGGACCAGCTCTGGCCTTGTTCATAGCGGCCTCGCTGGGACACCCTGCACCGGCCATGGAGAGCTAAAATTGGAAAGTAGCGAGTGGGAGGCAGCTGACAGAGCTATTTCGCGGGCTCTTCACTCTGCTCCGGTTTCAAGCTCCTGCTCCAATAACCTGAT